ATAGGGAAGGACTCTCTCTGGGGTCCTGCAATACCCAGACTAGAGGGAAGGACTCTCTCTGGGGTCCTTCTCCTGGTGGCGGCTGGTGGGTCTGTGAGAGGAACGTGTTGTAATGTTGTCCTGGCCAGTTGTCTTGTACTGTGAAACATAACAAGTGTGTGTCTGTGTCTGTTTTGTCCCCTCCCCACTGGCCTTCTTCACCTCCAGTCACACACACACACACACACACACACTGCCATTATATGTGTCTGTGTGTTCGTCGGGTTGTATAGCTTTGTATACTGGTCCTCCTACACGTGTGCCCTTTAAGGCTCTCCTCCTGCACACTCGTCTTCGTCAGGTAGCTCTTATTCATTCTCTGTCCACGTGTGTTTGTACTCTTGTCTCCACCATCACCCTGTCTGCCTCTTATGTTGGTGTTCTGGGAAGGAAGGTGGTGGTGGGTTGTGTGGTGGAGGGTGTCTTAGAGGGTGGGTTGGGTGGGATGTGGTGGAGGGTGCCCTGTGAGGGTGGGTGGGTGGGCTGTGTGTAGGAGGTGGAGGCTGAGGGGTGGGGTTGAATGTAGGAGGGTGATGGAGGGTGGGGTTATTTTGTGGAGAGGTTTTGTGAGGGTGGGTGGGTGGGGTTGCGTGTAGTGGCAGGGTGGAGGGTGTCTCGTGAGGGGTGAGTGGATTGTGTAGTGGAGGGTGGCAGGTGAGGGAGGAAGGTGGGTACCAGACGTAGGGGTTTCCATTCCCCCTCGTCCAACTTCCTTCCCCCTCCCTGTCCAACCTTCCTTCCCCTCGTCCAACCCTTCCTTCCCCGTCCCTCCCCCTCGACTCCACCAGACAAGTATGACCGATGTGGTTGTATGTGTCGTGTAGGTGTGTTGTCACTTGACTGTGACTAGAAAAGTTTGAGGTAAAATATTATGTTATAGTGAAGTAAACGCGTCTGTGTGTGTGTGTGTGTGTGGGGGGCTTAGGTGACGCATCACAACAAACCTGTGCCACATGTGACATAAACAAGGGCGTGTTGTTCCCCTGTGTGTGTGTGTGTGTGTGTGTGTGTGTGTGTGTTTGGGGAGAGAAAGTGTGAGGGTCAGTGGCGTGGTATGACTCACCCCAGCCCACACATGTTGATGTTCACGGGACTTACAGGGGAGGGGGGCAGAGTAGGGATGAGGCCAGCTAGGGCAAGGGAGGAATGGAGAGGTAGGTTAGGGACAAAACGAAAGAGAAGGAATGGTGATGGCAGTGATACAAATTATTCCTACCATGTTTTTTTTTTGGGGGGGTTCATGAAAAGTGGTGTACAGAATTATCCTTGGAGGAAATAAAAAGCCGTTTGATACCATCCGTGAACTATAATCATGATGGCGGCGGTGTCGTCCAGCTGCTTCCCGTCTGGCTGCCGGTATGGTGAGTTATGAAAATGTCCTTGAGGTTATTTAGTTGGTTCCCGAAAGCTCTTGAAAAACCCCCTTAGAATTTTTAACAGAGGAAGACTTGACCATTTAGTGGGGCCGTGTTAGATGGCCAGGGAGCACGGTATGGGATGAAAGGGTAGGGCGAGGCCAGGTGGTGGGTGGGAGGGTAGGGCGATGGTGGTGGTGGGGTGAGAGGGTAGGGGCGGGTGGTGGGGTGAGAGGGTAGTGCGAGGGCCAGGTGGTGGGGTGAGAGGGTAGTGCGAGGGCCAGGTGGTGGGGTGAGAGGGTAGTGCGAGGGCCAGGTGGTGGGGTGAGAGGGTAGTGCGAGGGCCAGGTGGTGGGGTGAGAGGGCAGGATAAGGACTCGCTTGGATGTAGAGACCTCTCAAGGCTCTCGGACAGACCAGTAACAACAGCTCCAACAGACGTATCTCAGTGTGTTCCCACCACGTAAATTTTAAACGCTTTTGGAGGCTATTACGGACAAACGTTCGTCCACCCTCTGCTGGTAGTTTATGCTTCTTTCTGGTGACCTAAGTGACTCTGTGGAGATTGGGGAGTGTGTGTGGCGGTCGTGGTTAACGTGACGACACTCCTCTTATTTACACAGTTCAGTAAGGTGAGCTGACGCAAGTTGTGATGCCTTCTGAAGCAAAGGTATATTATTATTATTGTTGTTGTTATTATTAGTTATTATTATTATTATTACTGTCATTATTATTATTATTATTATTATTATTATTATTATTATTATTATTATTATTATTATTATTATTACTACTACTACTACCTCCACATAGTAAAAGTCTTAGAGCTTATATTAACGATGGAGAGTGTTGAAGGCGGAGTAGGTGACGGTGTAGTAGGAGTGAGAGACGGTGTAGTAGGAGTGAGAGGAGAGGTATTGTCTCGTGGTGTTGTCTCGCTCGTGTTGGCACTGCTCTCGTTGTGGCACTGTTACTACCAGGTGTTCTTTACTCACCTTAGCTGTCTAGAGAAGATTTGAGAGAGACAGAGACAGAGTTATATGTTGATTGCTACAGTAGTTTATTTTCATTACATACATTGCGAGGATACAGTATCACCAACCAATAAATCCTGAATTGTGTATAATAAATTGTAAACAACTGAATTATGGGTACTTATAGATCCTGAAGTAATAGTAAACGAAGTGTTGAATATTGTTTGCTGTAAAACTGTATATATTTCTCGACTTAGGTAAATATTGTCTTGTGTGTGTGTGTGTGTGTGTGTGTGTGTGTGTGTGTGTGTGTGTGTGTGTGTGTGTGTGTGTGTGTGGGGTTACAGCTTCCTAAGATTATATATCATTGGCATTTCTTTTTATATTACAGTCAACCTCCTGTATTTTATCTCATAAGATTTTCCTCCCTAATATCTCAATAGGAGATGGTGGTCAGGTGGTATATACTTATTTATGTTGTAATAGAACACAAATGGTTATATGATAGGTAAGGAATACGCCCCAGAGAGATCCTGGTGGGGGCTGAGGGCTGCTTCTGGGGGGCTGACTGACTGGGGTACGTTCATCAAGTCATATCTTTTATCCACTTGGCCTTTAGCATGTTAATATTTTTCCTGAATTGGAGATAAGGGAGATTATTTTGTTAAGGTGGATTGGCAGTGCAGTTTCGACACCGTTTCAGCATCAGGTGTCCAGGGGTGGCGGGATATTTTTTGGTGCCTTTGTGTGTGCTGTAGGGAAGACGATGTTAGTATAGTGGAACCCAACTTCACTCGTGGTATTACATCTCTGAACCTTTGTAAGATGAACTGTACTCTATAGTTCCAAAATCCAGTGAATATCTATGTATTATTTTAGGTTCTCTTTTATTATCTGTCAGTTGATATATTAGTGATTTTTTTTTGGGGGTGGAGGGGGGTGTTCCATACATATTTATTACGACTCTTGTAAACCTAAGCTCTTCCTTCACCTGTGTGTGTGTGACTCATCCACACGACAGGTATAGGGAGTTTATTTAGTAATATTGGTATTAGTATAAAGGTATGGAGTTGCGGGTCTAGTGGCTTACATGCATTGGCTGTAGTCATTTGCAGATGATGATGATGATGGTAATGATGATGATGATGGTAATGATGGTGGTTTAAGAGGTAGGATATACAAACCAGGACTGGCACCTCGCTCTGTGACACACCTGATCCAAGACGCTATCAAACTATCAAAAGATCTTCTTGTTAAATCAGCCGTGATGGAGGGAGTGCCGTACGTGTGCATCTCGCGGCGGCAGGTCAAGTTTATCTGGCAGTCTATATACTGTAGTGTAGCGATACAGTGCGTTACAGTGATGGGCTATTGATCGGTCCACTGTACTGTACTGTAGTATATGTAACCAGTCCACACCGTTACCCTTATTATTATTATTATCATGGAGGCTGATAAAGTCTTAGTTAATTTAGGGTCAGTAATTATAATAACGAGTTTGATGAAATGATTGTGATGATACGATGCTGGTATGATGATACACTATACATAATTATAATGAGTGATGGTGCATTTATGATGATACTGATGAATTAATATACAATAACAAGAACACGCGGATCATAGAAACAAAGGTAGACAGAGGCAGGAACAAAGGAGCCTGATAATTATACTGATTGCATATTTATAGTGGCTTGACAACAGCTGTCCCCGTATTACACATTATTATCTTGTGTGTAGTAGTAGTAGTAGTAGTAGTAGTAGTAGTAGTAGTAGTAGTAGTAGTCGCTAATGCCCAGAACCTAACCTTACCCCTCCCCCGCCCCGCCCTGAGTTTCTCCCCCATATTCTTACCTACGTTACGTCATGAGTGGGGTGGGAGGGTTGGCGACATGACTAATGCTCAACGTATCATATCTGTGTAGTGGGTCCGTCAAGAGGCTGCTGATCTTGGGTGTGGTATCTTATCGGGACAGCTTCAGTGTTTTGGTCGGGCTCACCTCCTCCCCTGCCCCTACTCCTCCTACCCCTTCCCCTACCTCCTCCCCCTCCCCTCCTCCTCCTACCCCCTCCCCTCCTGCTCCTCCTACCTCTTTTTCCATTGGTTGTTGTGATGTGAACAGCTGATGCCATCCAAAACTTTCCCACAAACACTTACACACGCTCTTCATTTGGTTAGGTTAGGTTAGGTATGTTAAATCCACATATGTCTAAGATATAATACTCTCATACAAACTGATTTAATAACGAATAACAAGCACTTGAAGGTCTTGGGTGGGAACAATCGTAGGTGACAAATGGTAAGATGATCTCTCTCTTGAATTCATAACCAACGAATCATCTTAGAGGGTGTATGGTGCCGCCTCTAGACCTATACATAGTCCCAGTGTTTCTTAGAGGAGGGCTCATTTTCCTCCTCGTCTCTGTGTAATTTTAAGTAACTCGTTTATTTGACTCATCTATGTAACGTTGAGTATTCTAGTTTGTTTTATGATGACCGTGAGTTAGTAAGTTGGGCTCCAGAGATCATTTAGAAGGAAAAAAATCGGAACAAAAATCGGAAGAAATCGGAAAAAAATCGGAAGAAATCGGGGAAAAAAAATCATGACATCATCTGACTATGGTGTTTCAGGTGGCCGTGGAGGGTGAGGGCGGCCACCAGCAGCTGTGCCTCGACTCGTCTTCACACACACATGTAAGTAAACTAACTTTAAACTCTCTCTCTCTCTCTCTATATACCCCGACCCTTTACTTCCTCACTTGGGGGTAGTTACTTAACCTACGTACAGTCCGAATGTCCGTCCGTAGTCACATTTCTTTAACTTGTGACATAATGCAACTCATCCCAGCAAGGTATTCACTCCCTCTTGCCCCTCTTCCTGCCCTGCCCCCCCTCTCCTGCCCTGCCCCCCCCCTCCTGCCCTGCCCCTCTCCTCCTGCCCCCCTCTCCTGCCCCTCTCCTCCTGTCCCCCTCTCCTCCTGCCCCCTCGCCTCCCTTTTTGGTGGTCATCTGCTCGGCTTCGTCCATCTGCCCCCCCCCTCCCCTCCACCTGACTTTCCACTCCAGTTTTGTGTCCGTGGGGATGATGGTCATGTCTAATTATTGCCCTGTGCTTGGAGGAGGAGGGTAGGGGAAGGGGGTAGGGGGGGGAGAGGGGGACTAATACCAGGTCCCAGAAAGCAGACCCAGAATTTTCACACTAAATCAGCGAGTTAGTTAAGTCAGCCTGTGATATTTTCTGAAGAGTAAGTCAGGGTTAGGTTAGGTTAGGATTCCGTGGATCTGCAGTAGGTCTTTCCAGTGTGTGTGTGTGTGTGTGTGTTTGTTTGTTTGTTTGTTTGTTGATGGCGGCCTTGCAACACCCGAGGTCATGTCTAGGTTGAGAGAGTCATTTTGCAGTTTGTCAGTTAATCCCAATTGCACATGAACAGGGCCAGATAATCTATCCTATATCCTGGTGTTGGGGATAAGGAGGATACGTCATGAAGGGAGGACGAGAAGGATAGAGAGGGAAAGAAGGGGATAAAAAAAGAATAGAAAAAAGGACGATGTAAATAATAATACTTAGGTTTTTTTCCCAGGAAGACTTTGCAGACGGTCAAACCTTAAGGAAAACTTGTACAAATTATGTCGTAAATCTGTTCGTCTTCCTTCCATTTTCTTCTCTTTATTTTCTCTCTCTCTTCCTTTTTTCTCCTTTTTATTCATCCCATTCTTTGTCTTGTTTTTTTTAAGCCTCTTCCTTAAATTACCCAATTACTGCTGAAAGTGGTAATAGGTCTGATGAGGTCACGGGGAAGATGGCAATTACTTACACAATCTTAACAGGTTTGGTAATTGGAACTTGGTGGGTGGGGGGTAGAGAGTAGGATATCCGGCTATGAGGGGGGGGGTTAAGAGGAGTGAGTAGCAGAGTGGAACAAACAAGCAGAGTTGGGTGGAACAGTGGAGTGAGGTGGAACTGCAAGAAGTATGCTGGAAATGTGTTGGCATCGTAGTCAGATTGCGTTGGTGGCACTGAGGTCTAATGTTATATACAAGGTAGAGGAATTATACAGTCCAAGTGTAGAACAGTTTAACGGTTATAAAGTAAGATCAACGTGTAGTGATAAAATGCTGTTGTCTCTCTCTCTCTCTCTCTCTCTCTCTCTCTCTCTCTCTCTCTCCACATTGTAATCAGTATCATAGTGTGGTGTGTGTGTATTGCATGATGTGTAATGAAATGCCTTGTGGGCCACTGATTATTGTGTAAGGGGCAGCGTGGGAGAGGTGGGTGCTGGATGGGTTTTCTCCTGCGGTGGTTATGGGTGAGCTTACCTCTGTCACCTCCCGCCCTCCTTCACCTGTTGAGGTATTTTGTCCCCCTGAAAGCGTTAATGCCAACTTTTCCTTTCATAATATACAAGTGCCTCCCATAGTCTTATATACCACATGTGGTCGTGTTCTTCCTGGTTGATGATTGATTGATGATATTTGATGGTAGAGTGTTGGTAAATGAAAGTAGGTAGTGAATATGGAGGCGGCCGATGGGTAAAGAAACTTGAAGACGCTGTGGTTGTTCAAGCGGTGGATTGACACAGGCTGATGATGATGATGTTAACTTGATAATGTCAAATGTGTATGACTGCTGCTTGTATTGAGTGTCAGTGGTGAGTCCCAGTGTGTGTGTGTGTGTGTGTGTGTCTGAATGAGGGGGGGGGGTGTTGGAGAGTTAGTGATTCCTTGGCGTATCAGTTCTCCAGTGATTTGTTTATATACACAGCTGCCTGAGACTGACAACGCCCCCTCCCTCTAGTCTCGCCTCGCCTCGCCGCATCACCAATGAACGAAACTGCAGCTTATGACAACAATTAACAGTCACGTGAAACATATGTGATAAGTAAAGGGCAACACCCACTGTGGAAAGCGTGTTGCTTGGTGTAAGAGACATGAGAGGAAGAATGTGTGGTGGGGGTGTGCATACCAGACAACACTCTCCTTGGACAGTCATGACCTTCCTCTGCAGCTGTGTACTCTTGTGGTGTATGTGAGAAACTTATCTGTTTCACCCACCACCAACAAACACTTGTAAATACATCTTCATAGGCTCTGGGGAGTCTTGTAGAGCCTCCGTACTGTGCTTGAGTGTTCCTTCCCTCTTTTTTTTTTAGTTTCTTGGCCAGTAAGTCCGTTTATAGGCGTGTTTGTTATTCAGCTGAGTCAGAGAGAGTGTTCATGTTGTATTAAGGATCACGATAGCTTGACTGTGTTAGTTTTGTAGAAGTGTAGAGCGTTGTGCTGGTGGTGTGTGAGAGCCCCCAAGCTTGATAATGAGGGTGATCCTCGTGCTCACTCTACCGTGGGAGCACCACACGCTACCACTCCTCTTCCACCGCTCCACACTACTGTCATCCACCACCAAAACCTTGCTCTACCGCCACACTGCCTCCGACCCTCCACACTACCCTGTATACCACCACAAGTACACACTATAGCCAAGTTCTCCTACACCCTCAAGTATAGCCTTCCACCACCACCACCTTACTCGCCACCACCACAGAAGTTGTTCCGGGATAGAGTGAAGCTAAGAAGCCAACTGCAGGTAAATTCTAGGAAATATTGCACTTACACTATGTTGCCATTCATCACCTGTCCCTCACCACACCACACCCTCACCACACCACACCCTCATCACACCACACCACATCACTACTGTTATTGTTACCGCTCTACCACTGTGCTCCTCCCCCTCTCTTCCTGTTCACAATCACAAAGTTTATTCAGTCGTATCAAACAAAAGTATAAAGTATAATAATTTTCCAGGTAATTTGATGAAGGTCGCACGAGTGTATTTAGCGGTGACGTTTTTAATGCACTTGTATGAAACACGTATTGACAATTTTTATTAAGTGACGATTTTTTTTTGCAATTTTAAAAAGTGACGATTTTAAAAGTTATTAATTCAGGTATATTTTTTACTTGTGGTTATTAAGACTTAGTGCGACACCTTTCTTGCTTTTATGTAAATAGTTTGTGTTGGTGATACATAAGGCGGGGAGGTGTGTGTGTGTGTGTGTGTGTGCGCGTGTGTGTGTGTGTGATGGTGGGATCAGAGGCCAGAAATAAGGTGAGTGAGAAACACGTTGGGTTTGGTTGTTAGTTTGGATTTTTTTTTTTTTTAATTTCGTTTCGTTTGAAGACTTGACAACGGTTTTATTATTCTTGTTTTATAAGTATTAATATTATTGTTATTACTGTTGTTATTATACTGTTGTCATTATTTATTAGTTTTATTATCACAAATGTAGTATACTCCGTTGACAAAGCCACTGTATGCTACAAAGGGATTATTACAGTTGTTCTCAGAAGGTTAGTCTTCCTCCTCACACACATTGACTTAGGAATAAACTACATTGGTGACGCAATCAAATAGACTCTAGTTATCGATCACTTTCAAGCTGGCTGGTGGTGCAGGTATAGTTCAGGTTATCGGGTTGAGAGTCGTTTGTGGTAATGGAGTGAAGGAACTGTGAGACACGTGCTTGGGGGTGTACCTGACGTGGATTCCCGGAGATGGGTGAGTGAGTGAGTGTGTCTACGGGGCCTAGGAGAGCGGCACATGTGGGCACCTGGAGCGTGGCCCGGCCTTCCACCACAGCAACAATTACAAGACGGGGCAAAAAAGTGAACGCTGGGGCCACTGATCCTACCTGGGTTGGTGTCGCACCGGTACCTCCCCTCCCCTCCCTCACTCTCTGGTACCAGTTGCTGCCCTCCGTCTTCCTCGCTCTACCAGGATCTCCCAGCACCCCCCTGACCCCCCCCCCTCTTCCAGTTACTACCCTCTTCTCTCCCATGTCCCTATGTCCATCATCCCCCACCTCCCTGTCCCCGTGTCCATCATCCCCCACCTCCCTGTCCCCGTGTCCATCAGTCTTTCCCTTGTCTCCGTGTCCATCATCTCCCATGTCCCTGTGTCTATCATCTCCCCATGTCCCTGTGTCTATCATCTCCCCATGTCCCTGTGTCTATCATCTCCCCATGTCCCTGTGTCTATCATCTCCCCATGTCCCTGTGTGTCCCTGTGTCTATCATCTCCCCATGTCCCTGTGTCTATCATCTCCCCATGTCCCTGTCTATCATCCCCATGTCCCTGTGTCCATCAGCCTCCCTATCCCTTTGTCCCCGTGCCCATCACCTCCCCCTGGTCACCACGCATCGCCCGGGCATGAGTCCACTGAGGTTCGGTCATGACCAGCCTCTTCACCACCGCCACCAAGTCGTGCCCACAGCCCTCTCCCAGACAAGCGTTTACTCTCTCCTCCTACTCTTACTTTTATCGTACTTACTCCTCCCTCTCACCACCGTTCCTCCCCCTTCCTCTCTACCACCCGTGCCCACGACTCAACCCTCCAACCTGTTCTTTATCTGTTTAATCCAACATCTTCCCTCGCTTTGTTTCTTCTATCCCTTAGGTCTTCTCTTCTTCCCCTACCTTCTTCTCCTCCTCCTCTCATCTTCCCTCCCAACCTTCCATCTCCCTCTCTTCTCATCCATCCCCCCCCCTTCCCCCTATCCCACTATCCCAGACCGAACCATCGCTCTGCAAAGCCATCATTCGTGTAATTATTGTCAGGTTATCTCGGGGCGGAGCGTAAGAACGTGGCGTGGCACGGGCATGAACCAGTAAGGACTATATTGTGAGTCTGGTAAGT